GAGTTGGTCCCTCCTAACTCAAAGCTTCGGGAACACTGTATACTGACTTCTAGTACTAATTTTTACATTGCATATAAGTACTGGAATGTCTGTCTCTCAACAAGAGTTTTACTTAACTTTTACTGACAGCAAGAAACTCATTTCATTTTTGGGTACCTGGTAGCTTGGCATAAAGCTCAGCACAAAAGAGATGCTTAGTAAGTAAAGGCTTTTCATGGGTCTAAAATGTGAGATCTATGCATGAACCAGGAAAACGCAGTGATCATCTGGGGCTTCTTCCAATCACAAAAAGACCAAATCTTTAAATTCAAGAAAAAGCTCCACCATTTCCAAGGTTCCAGTGGCCTTCTCATTCTAGTAGACACACTCTCCAAGGCAGAACATCCTATCTGTTGCCACCATCTTCTGATGGCCACTGAAATGTTCATTTCATTTAAGATATCCTGACCCCCCAAAATTGCCACGTCAGTTGATATTGGATCGAAACCATTTTTAAAAATATTTTTATTGATTTCAGAGAGAAAGGGAGAGGGAAAAAGAGATAGAAACATCAAAGATGAAAGAGAATCATTGATCAGCTGCTTCCTTCACACTCCCCACTGAGGATCCAGCCCATAATCCAGGCATGTGCCCTGACCAGGAATCGAACTGTGACCTCCTGGTTCATAGGTCAATGCTCAAACACTGAGCCAAGCTGGCCAGGCAATTGAAACCCCCAGGTCCTAAGTCATGAGTTTCAAAACTTAAGTCAAAGCTGCAAAATTAGCTGGCTGTAATAGTTTAGAAGCAACTGAGGAAGAACCAAGATGGTGGCATAGGTAAACACCGGAAAATGCTGCCTCGCACAACCACTTCAAAAATACCACTAAAAGACGGAATGGACATCACCCAGAACCACAGGAAAGCTGGCTGAGGAGAAATTCTTCAACTAGAAGGAAAGAGAACAGCATACCGAGACTCAGAGGAGGCACAGTGCGGAAAATACAAAGGTGCAGAGGTGCGCGCAGAGCGGGCTGGTGGCTGAGGGCGCCATTGTCATTTTCAATCAGGAGGGAGGCTCAGGCCCTGAGCTCCAGTTCTGGGCGAGTCTCTAGGGACCCAGACTCAAACAGGAGAAGAGGGACTGTCTGGCATTGGTCGGAACGCGAGGGCAGCTTTCTCTCCGAGGTTTGCAGCGGTTGCTGGGAATCTGAGAGGCAGAGCCTCTGGGGACAGGACTGAGAGCAGCCATAACTGCTCCCTCCACCCGCCCTGTTTGATCCAGTGAGACCTTCCCAAGCCCTGCACAGAGCCCATTTGCCGGATAGCCTCAGGCAAAGGCTAATTAGCACCTCCCCAGAGGACAGAAGTTTTCCCACTGCAGACACAGCTGACTCTCACAGCCAGTTGGCCTGGAGGTCAAATCCCCCCAGTATTAACTACAACAATCAAGGCTTAACTACAACAAGACTGTGCACAAAGACCACTAGGGGGTGCCCCAAGAAAGCATAAAAAAAATGGGGAGACAAAGAAACAGGACAAAATTGCCAAAGGAAGATATTGAGTTCAGAACCACACTTTTAAGGTCTTTCAAGAACTGTCTAGAAGCCACCAATAAACTTAATGAGATCTACAAGAAATCTAATGAGACCCTTGATGTTATGATAAAGAACCAACTAGAAATTAAGCATACACTGACTGAAATAAAGAATACTATACAGACCCCCAACAGCAGACTAGAGGAGAGCAAGAATCAAGGCAAAGATTTGAAACGCGAAGAAGCAAAAAACACCCAACTGGAAAAGCAAAATGAAAAAAGAATCCGAAAATACGAAGATAGTGTAAGGAGCCTCTGGGACAGCTTCAAGCGTATCAACATCAGAATTATAGGGGTGCCAGAAGATGAGAGAGAGCAAGATATTGAAAACCTATTTGAAGAAATAATGACAGAAAACTTCCCCTACCTGGTGAAAGAAATAGACTTCCAAGTCCAGGAAGCGCAGAGAACCCCAAACAAAAGGAATCCAAAGAGGACCACACCAAGACACATCATAATTAAAATGCCAAGAGCAAAAGACAAAGAGAGAATCTTAAAAGCAGCAAGAGAAAGAAACTCAGTTACCTACAAGGGAATACCCATAGGACTGTCAGCTGATTTCTCAACAGAAACTTTGTAGGCCAGAAGGGAGTGGCAAGAAATATTCAAAGTGATGAATACCAAGAACCTACAACCAAGATTACTTTATCCAGCAAAGCTATCATTCAGAAGTGAAGGCCAGATAAAGAGCTTCACAGATAAGGAAAAGCTAAAGGAGTTCCTCACCACCAAACCAGTATTATATGAAATGCTGAAAGGTATCCTTTAAGAAGAGGAAGAAGAAGAAAAAGGTAAAGATACAAATTATGAACAACAAATATGCATCTATGGACAAGTGAATCTAAGAATCAAGTGAATAAATAATCTCATGAACAGAATGAACTGTTGATTATAATAGAATCAGGGACATAGAAAGGGAATGGACTGACTATTCTTGAGGGGAAAAGGGGTGTGGGAGATGCGGGAAGAGACTGGACAAAAATCGTGCACCTATGGATGAGGACAGTGGGTGGGGAGTGAGGGCGGAGGGTGGGGTGGGAACTGGAAGGAGGGGAGTTATGGGGGGGGGGGAAGAAGAACAAATGTAATAATCTGAACAATAAAGATTTAATAAAAAAAAAAAAAGAAGAAGAAGAAGAAGCAACTGACCCCACATGTGTTGGCCTTTTGAGTAATCCTCCTGATTCCAGAATCTTGGTAGGTACTTGGGCATTAACAACCAACCACAGCCCTGCTACCATTTCACTGCTTCTCAGACCGGCATTTGAGAATACTTCCCCTTTCAACTTGGCTCTGCTCTGTGCCCCTGGTATTTTATTCTTCCTAAATCATTGAGCCTGAAGCATTTAGCCCAGGGTAGCTGAGATATCCAACCAGATATATAAGCCTGTTTCTTCCCTGGAGCACTCAGTGCTTAAAAATTACAACAGCTTGAATTAGTTGCAAATTGTCTGAGAATATCCTATTTGTATGGTTGCTCATGATCATGTCCCTCCCTATCTACTGCCATGTCCATCAAGTCAAAAGAGACATTACAGTTTTTAAGTGAATTGGAACAGTGGATGGGATCTGAATGGAATGAAAATAACTCATCATAGTCTGCCTTGAGAAACCTATTGATGGTGTCCTGTTGATTCTGAGATAGCTGAGGTTCCTTCTTCCCCTGAAATTTCTGTGATGCTCTTTTGCAATGATCAATGGAAGCCGTACTTTTCTCATCTTTGCTGGACTTCTGTAATAATTAACTTATGTCATATAAATAAAGATGCTGGCACACGCCACACACATTGTAAATAACCAATAAATGGCAATTATTGCTATTGGATTTGGGGGCTGTATTAGCTTCCTAGGGCTGTTATAATAAGTATCAAAAACTGGCCTAAAACAATAGAAGTTTAATGTCTCACAGTGCTGGAGGCTAAAAGTCCAAAATCAAGGTGGACCAAACTACCAAACCTCTAATTTAAAGGCCCATTTTTCTACGGACCCATTCATCTTTCCTAACAATCATGTACTCTCCCCTAAAAGGTCTACATCCTCCCTCCCTTTCCCTATTAAGATACTATTTAAGATTGAACTCTAATCTACTGAACTTAATTATTTTTCCCTTTTTCTGATAGCTATAGGGGAGATTCCTTCCTTCCAGCTTCTGGTGCTTGCCAGAAACCCTTGCTTTCTTGGCTTGTAGATGCATTTTTCTGGTCATATGGCCACCTTCTCCCTGTGTGTCTCCATATCATCTTTCCTCTGTGTGTATCTGCCTCTGTTCCCAAATGCCCCCTTTTCATAAAGGTGCCAGTCATAGGATTAGGGCCTCATGATCTCATGTTAACTTCATTGCCTCTATAAAGATCGTATTTCCAAATAAGGTCACATTCTGAAGTACTAGGGGTTAGGATTTCAACATATATTTTGGAGGAGAGGGAGACAATTGAACCTGTAACAGAAGTAAAGGGTAGCAGAAAATTTCACCCCAAAATATGCTACTTTAGTAAGTTGGTTTTTTGGTGATGTAGGTACTTTAGAAATGGCAAATGCAAGGAGATGTTCTCTGAACTCCCTTTATCTGCCCAAAGACAGATCCTCCAAAAAGAACTCAAGACTGACTCTTATCCCCGGATAGAAGACTGGTAGTTGATACTACACCCAGACAAACTTTGTCACAAACTACTAAACCTCTAATTTAAAGGCCCATTTTTCTACGGACCCATTCATCTTTCCTAACAATCATGTACTCTCCCCTAAAAGGTCTACATCCTCCCTCCCTTTCCCTATTAAGATACTATTTAAGATTGAACTCTAATCTACTGAACTTAATTATTTTTCCCTGGGTACCTGTAATGCATGCTAACAAATTTTTGTTTGTTTTTCTCTGGTTAATCTATCTCTTATTGTGAGGGTCTCAGCTAGAACTCAGAGGGGTGGAGGGGAATTTATTTTTCCTTCCCTACAGAGTCATATATAAAGTGGCATTTTGTTTTTTTAATAACTGGCACAATCTGTTTTGTTGACCGCCCTTATCGTGCTGGGTAGCAGGATTTCTAATTATATTTCAGTCTAGTGTTAAAATTTTCACTGCCCTTTGGTTATTAAAGCAATCAGACAAGTTACCACCTCTGGCTCTGGCTGTCCCAAGAGTGCACCTGCTTGGGGGTGGGGGCATGAGCAGGGGCATGCTGATAAACCAGCTCTCCAAGGGAGAGAAAATTAAAATGCTCCAATGTGTAGCATTTCTTGATTTCTACTGTATATTGAGTGACATATTGAATTTTCCCACCATGACTGACTCAAGCTACCAATGAACAACTGGCAAAATTCCTGAAATGTAAACCTGGTCTCGTGAGCACATAGGAACTGTTTCTAGGATGTCACTGAAGGCTTGACCTACTTGCTAATGACTGCCTTCTCCCTTTCTCTTCTCCAGTTTTCCAATGTGTGCCTACCCCCAAAACTTCAGGCACAGGATGAGGGAGGGAGCAACGTTGACTGTTTTGAGAAACTACAAGTTGTTGATGGCAATTCTGATATCTCCGATAGTTGTTGCTGCTTCTCCACCCAACACAGCAGGCCACTGGTCTCCTGGACAGGCACGAGTTCATTCAGTGGAGGGTTCTGAGGAGGCCTTTCTCTGCACAGCCTCTGGTTTGAAAAATCCAGCTTCCACTTGGCCCCCATACTCATCTCACCAGCCCTTTCCTTTGGCAAATTCAACCAACAGACTTTTTTGAAATTGGGATTTCATGCCCTTTTTGGAGATATCTGCAAGAAGGCCTTTGCCCCATCATCTCTTCTGGCATCCACACAATGGAGGGAAATCTAAATATCTCTGCAAATAAAATGGTGGGAAATTCAGATGTCCCTGCTATTCCCTCTCCTCCTTAAGCCATGTCTCTCCTGCAACTTTCTCCTTTGCCCAGTTAGTATCAGACACTCTGCTGGTCCAATAGGAAGCAATTTTAAGACAAGAGATCATTGTCAGCACCTCACCAAGTTGAGAGGGAGAAACAGATGGCTCTGACATCCCCAAATGTACAGGAAAAGGAAAGAAACAAATCCAAGGTTCTTCTCGCCTGTGGAGCAGAGTCAGAAGGAATAGTTTCCACGATATGAATCCTGCTTTCTCCCAGAAGCCATCCTCTTCCTCTCTCCTGATCCCCTCTCAGTGTGGCTCACACTTAAAAACTGTGAAACAGTTTGGTCCTTCTAACAGTAGGAAGGCAAGGATTAGAAATTTTATGGCCCAAAACCAGGCTGTTGGCCTTGGAGAATTTAGTAATTTTATTAACAAGGTTCTATGTCCACTGTATTTGCTACACTTGTCAACCTCTGGGGATGGAAAAAGATACTAGTAATAACAGGCAACATTTTGAAATGGCACAATCGCCACCTTATAATGCTCTGTTGCATTATTTTTCTAAGATTGGAGGGAAAAATAACCTTTTTTTTTTTCTTCATCAAAACTGACCATAGTCAAATCTGCCTTCCAAGGTGGAAGAACAGGGAGAGGAAATAATTCACGTTACTGGGGAAATCATCGCTCTGCTGCCCTCTTTCAATTGCAGAGACTGGTGGGCGACGAGGACAGACCTAAAGGCAATGGTTTAGCGGAACAAGAGTACATTCGTTTGTCTTGGGAGCTGTAGGAAGATCCCCAGAGCAGAGACTGAGGATAGGGTCTGTTTCCGTTTCTGCGGGGGAAGCTACTGAAGTAAAGAAGAGAGCAAAAAACGATAACAGAAAAGCAACACTATGGTGGCTGATTTTCTTTCCATTTACGATGTTTGCTCTGCTACGATCTCCACCTGTATTCTCAAATACGCAGTAAAGACTGCTTCACAGAAATGCCCCCAGGAGGTGGGGTGTTTTGTTTTTTTTCATACAATTCAAAGAAAAGGGAATAAGCATGGTATTTGGTTCAGCATGGGGTAGAGAGAAGGGAACTTTCATGGGGATGAGAGGCTAGGACTATGGAACGAGTTCTCCCAGGAAGTAGGAGCCAGCCCTGAACTGACATTAATCCCCAGAAAGATGCAGAAATCTTGGAGAAGACAGAGAACAGAGGGTCTGCATTGACATCTGGGTTTTATTATTAAAAATAAAATACTGTTGCTGTTCTTGGTATTCTCTATTAAGGGAGCCAAAGAGAACACACACGACACAGGTCCCAATAGCATTAAAGCCCCATGGCCCCTATATCTGAGCCAGGCACTCGTGACAGGTATCACTACCAGCTCTCTACCTGCCCCTAGCAAACACTTCCTTTTATTCAAACTCAAGGTCACATGGTGAAAAGCCTGGACAATGAGGCTATTTCCTGGGGCTGACATATGAGTAGCCAGGCTCACCCCATGCCAGTTGCTACAAGTGGCTACTAAGGTTCTTCAATCTTAATCGAATAGAGGGGGAGCAGCAGGTGCCCTCAAGAAGGCCCTTCCTCATCCAGAAACTGAAATCGGTCACAGAGCACGGTGGCTCCACAGAGTTGAGAATATCTGAGCTAATGTGCACTATTGTGGGGCATGCGGACCCCGGGTCCTGCTGACCCACTGGGCAAGAAAACCTGTCCTGCCCCATGGGACCAGCGCTGTGTGGCCTGCTTCTCTGTGTAGGAAGCAAATTCAGTGGAAAGAACGTTGGCCCATTACAGACGTAAAATGTACTTACTTCTCTAAGGGGCAGCATGAGAACGTCTTTTCTAGTACACTTTTCTTATTAGGAGTTCCGCATCTCATCATCTGAGAAGTCTCCCACGTGGCGATTTCGCGATAGTTGCCACAGCTCTGCTGTAACATTAGCAGCGAAGCCCTCAGCGGGCTGTATTTCAATTGGTGAAATTCAAATCCGCAGACATTGACAAGGTTCCTGGTGGCCAACGTGCCTTCCTCGCTGTCCTAAAATGAAGTAGGAACGTGAGATTTTCACGGTGCTTATGGAGGAGCCCCTGACAATCAAGGCTCGCACACATTTTTTTTTTTTCCAGAGACTCTAGCGGGTTCTTTTCTTTGTTCTTTTTTCCTACTTTTTAAACTTTCAGTTTTTTAGTCACTATGCATTTTCTTCTAGGTGGGATGAAAGTCTTTAACCTTTGAATTCCACAAAGGATGGCTGCGGACATACAACTCTAATTACCTTAAGCTGCCTACAGCTTAAATACATAGCACAGCAGTCTCCAGAGGAGACCGTGTATAGAGTTTCTTCCCAGCCCCGCTCCGGTGTAGATTTACACTATGTGCCTGTGACTGCCTTTCTGCTTGGAAAAGTCCCTGCTGCTGGTGAGCAGGTGTGATCCTGGGCACTTCTATAAAGAAGTCCTTTGTTATTGGGGTCAGTCATTGTGTGAACTTGAATCAATAACAAGGTTTTTGTATATCTCAGTTTTCTCTTTCACAGAATTAGGTTGTTGCACGATCTGTTGTCTAGCTAGTGCCATCATGATTCACCATGGCATACAAACAAGAATAATTTAGGGCACCACACCTCTGACACGAATCCTCAGTATAATTGGCATACTATGAGGGCAAAATAATTAGAAAATGGAAAACGGGAGGGAAGGGGAGGGAATAAGGAAGAGGCAAAGGAAGGAAAGGTAATAGGATGAATTAGGCATTAGAAACCCTGAATTTCGGAGGGTATGCTAATAGGCTGAGGATACATGAACAGCCTTCATACTTGGCAGCTGGTTTGTCTTGCCCATCTTTGTTACCCAAGATCTTGCATATGAAGGTACTCGATAGAGGCTCTGATGAATACTTGGAGAGTAAATGTTTAAAGCTAATGTGGTAACCATTACATGCAAGGTTGTAAGGAAATAAAGAGATTAGGGGGTGAGTACTTGAATTCAAGAATTGGTATCTATGTCATTCAAGTGGAGCAGCCAGATCTGATGTGCCTCCAGAAGTGATGCAAGGTGAAGTACACATCATATTCTTGCAAAACTTGAACTGAGCCAAGCCTTTAAAGCTGACTTCCAGTTGAAAAAGAAAATGGCAGCTGGAGGAACAAGTTAAACACCACCTCAAGAAAACAGGCAAATCCAGAATGCGGGACATTTTACGGGTCAACTTACTAGTATCTTCAACAAGTCAATGACACGAACAGAGAGAGAGAGAGAGAGAGAGAGAGAACTACTCATAACCTTGATTGGATTCCAATTTGAACAAATAAAATATACAAAGACAATTGGGGAAGTTGGAATGTGTACTGTGTGTTAAATGACTCCAAGGACTTGTTGTTTAGTCATGAATAATAGTGCTGTTATGGGTATGTAACAAAATCTCTACGTTTTTAGACATGCATATTGGAATATAATAATGTGATATTTGGGATTTGCTTAAAATACTTCACACACACATAAAGGAAAAGGAAATGATGAATCTTGTGTGGCAAAATCTTTAAATCACTGGTTTTGGGTGATATGTGTAAGGATGATATATGTATGAGGGCACATTTTATTGTTCTCTATAGATTGTTTGAAACATTGATATATAATTAATTCTTTTCTAAAGTAAACACTGTAGAGGACATTTTATCAAGGAAGGGACAAAGGAAACTTTTAAGAGCTAGAAATTCCATCTGATCTGGGTGGTAGTTGTGGTAGTTACATAGATGTGCACATATGCAAAACTCATCAAACTATCCACAAAAAAATGCATGCTCTTGATTGCATTTAAGTTATGCTGTGGTAAAATAAACAAACCAGTCTCCATTTTTAGGAAGCAATATTAAATTAAGTAAACATCTTCATGGGTAATTAAATGCAATACATATCTGCTTCCCTGCTCCCATCAGCCACCTTCATGTAAGAGATTCCTGAGAATGCCTGTATCCACTCTTTAACTGGTCTTCTATGTGCCAAAAAGCAATGACATTCAGTCACTGGGAACACTATCTCCGTGTTCTAGAGGCTGGAAAAGCTACCACCCAGTTCCTGGGGTGATAGGGTTTGAAAAAGAGACAATTATCAGCATTGGCCTTAGTGATCAGCATCATAGAGCCTGGGGAAGAAGAAGTGGAGTAAGAACTGCTGTCCTATCCAGCCAGTGTGTTCAGTGGTTGAGCATCAACCTATGAACCAGGAGGTCACAGTTCAATTCCCGGTCAGGGCACATGTCCGTGTTGCAGGCTCGATCCCCAATAGGGGTGTGTGCAGGAGGCAGCTGAATGATTCTCTCTCATCATTGATGTTTCTATCTCTCTCTCTTTCCCTCTCTCTTCCTCTCTGAAATCAATAAAAATATATTTTAAAAAAAAGAGCCCTAACCGGTTTGGCTCAGTGCATAGAGCATCAGTCTGCAGACTGAAAGGTCCCAGGTTCAATTCCAGTCAAGGGCATGTGCCTTGGTTGCGGGCACATCCCCAGTGGGGGGTGGGCAGGAGGCAGCTGATCAATGTTTCTCTCTCATCGATGTTTCTAACTCTCTATCCCTCTCCCTTCCTCTCTGTAAAAAATCAATATTTTTTAAAAAAGAAAAGAAAAAAAACTACTGTCCTAAGGCAAAGGAATAGAAGGAGAACAGCTTGGGAAAGGGCCAGAAGGGAGGACATTAGTAAGCAGACGGTGACTCCATGGAGGTGGACCCCCAGGTCTGTGGCTCAAAAAAAGTGTGTAGACACAGACAATCCCACCCACACCAGAAGATCCTGGGAATAGTCTTGGAAGAACAGCTGTGGATACTGCTCTTAACTATAGGAATAGAAAGGAAGAGAAGGGTAAGCCAGTGAGCAGCTATCCAAGGTTCTTTCCATGTAGACCATAGAATGAAGAGTGGTAGACAGATGGAGTACTCAGACCTTAGTGTAATGTGTAATGACTAACCCTGATCCCTTCCATGTGTACAGTAGAGAATAGTACAGGGGAGGGAAGATGATGCCTCAAAAGAAGGAAGAGAACTGAAGGGGCAGGCAACCCTGATGATCTCTGAATAGCCTTTGGAGTTATTCTTCCCTTGTCTTTCACACTTGAGCACTGCATAGCAGAACAGCATTATGGCCCAGTCCTGTGGGATCTAAGAAGTTCAACAGCCTCCCCTTTAGTTCAAACTGCCAGTGTTTTTGCTTGAGTGGCTGATCAGGTTCACATCATACTAATCTCCTAACAAACATTGTTTCGCCACACCCTTGGTGCTCTCTGCAATACAGATACATTGAGAATTTCCCAAATATTTTTGCTTAACAATTCCTTCTACAATTTGTTTCTCTCTGCTTGCATTTTGCGATAAGCAGTCAGGAGGAACCAACACTTTGCTGAGAAATCTCCTCAGTTAAATACCCAATTTCATCCCTTGCAACTTCTACCTTCCACAAAACACTAGAATGTGAACACGATTTAGTCCATTTCTTTGCCACGGTGTAACAGACTGCCTTTTCCCTGCTGTCCAATAACATGCTCCTCATTTCTGTCTGAGACTTCATTAGAATGGCCTTTACCATCCCTATTTCTACCAACATTCTGTTCATGATTATTTCATCAAAAAAGATGAAAGCTTTCTCTACTGCTCTCCTCTTTTCTTTCTGAGTTTTCACCAGAATTACCTTTAACAGTCCCTTCCTAGTAATCTTGGCTTTTCTAGCATGCACCTCAAAACTTTCTGCCCATTATCCAGCTCCAAAGCTACTCCCACATTTTTAGGTATTTGTTTCAGCTGCCCCCCCCACCCACCCCTCCACACACACACACACACACACAAACACACACTTCATGGTCCTACTTAGGCTGCCAGAACAAAATACCATAGGCTGAGTGGCTTGAAAATGAGTTCTGGAGGCTGGAAAATCCAAGATCAAGGTACTGACAGATTCAGTGTCTTGTGAGAACCGCCTTTGAGGTCTGCAGATGGCCAGCTTCTCTCTGTGTCCTCACACAGCAGAGAGAGGAAGCACTGGTGTCTCCCCCTCTTCTTATATAAGGGCACTAATCCTATCACGGGCTCTACCTTCATGGCCTCATCTAACCCTAGTTACCTCCCAAAGGCCCCATTTCCTAATACCCTCACATTTGGGTTTAGGGCTTCAACATATGAAGTGTGTCAGGGGGCGCGGGGGGTGGGGGGGGACACACACAAACATTCAGTCCATAACATTGCTACAGCATAGCCCAGTTTATTCTCATGGAAACAAACCCTACCATAAGAGAAAACAACCTTAGGATGAAGCCAACACTGTGGGTGGCAAAGGGCAAAACAAACACAGTTCTTGACATCATTGAACCACTGGATCAACCCTCATCTGAAGGCCACTCTAATGGTAGACTTTCCAATTATATTAGAAATAAATTCCCTTATTATTTAAGCCTATTTGAATCAAAACACTTAGCTGGCACAGGGATGCTGGTCTGTATTATGTGACCCCCTACAATGGTCATATCTGAATAGAGTAACAGAGGGCACCTGACCTTTGAGCAAATAATATACAGGCTGGGCAGTGGTCTATGAGGTAGCCAGACACAAAAGCTGTGTCCAACAGGGATATCATATCCAGGGATGTGACTGACCAGAATCACCCCTTTTAGTTTCAAGTTCTTCATTAAGTCTACTGGTAGCCACAAAAATGGTTTAACTAGAAGCAGAGGAGAACTGCACTTATGGAAGGATGTGTGTGTGTGTGTGTGTGTGTGTGTGTGTGTGTGTCTGTGTGTGTGTAAAGTATGTTTGTTACCATTTTAAAATTT